AGGGAGACAGAGGCTCCGAAGCAGGATCTGTGCTGAGAACGCAGAGCCCGATTTGTGGCTCGGACTCATGAACCGTGCGATCATGACCTGAGCCAAAGTCAGATGCTTAACTGACTGAACCACCCAGACACTCGCTACTACATCTGTAATTTTAAATGTTCCGATAGCCACATTAAGAAAAGCAAATAGAAACAGGTGAAATTAATTTTAATATTTTATTTTGTTTAACCAAATATATCCCAAAATGTTATCATTTCAGAATATAATCAACATAAAAAATTACTAAGGAACCATCACAGCTTGCTTTGTATAGTCCAAGCCTTCAAAAGCCAGTGGGCATTTTACACTTATAGACAATCTCAATTTGAATGCCAAGTTCTTAATCAAAAATACTTGATGTATTTTTAGGCTTTTTTTTTTTTTAAGTTTATTTATTTAGAGAGAGAGTACATAGGCAGGGGAAAGGCAAAAGGAGAGGGAGAGAGAGAGAATCCCAAGGAAGCTCTGCACTGTCAGTGCAGAGCCTGATGCAGGGCTCAAATTTACAAACCCGTGAGATCGTGACCTGAGCTGAAATCAAGAGTTGGATGCTTAATTGACTGAGCCACTCAGGTGCCCTGATATATTTTAGACTTTTAAAACCTAGGTTGAAGAAGTAGATTCATATACTCTCTTGTGCCAAATTTATTTAAAAGTTTCCAATAACTGAATTTAGTATCTGTTTTTCTTTTAATTTTTTAATGTTTATTTTTGAGAGAGAGAGAGAGAGAACACAATGGGGGAGGGCAGACAGAGAGAGGGAGACCCAGAATCTGAAGCAGGTTCCAGGCTCTGGAAGCAGGCTCCAAGCTCTGAGCTGTCAGCACAGAGCCTGATGTGGGGCTTGAACCCATGAACCGCGAGATTGTGACCTCAGCCGAAGTCGGACGGACGCTTAACTGACTGAGCCACCCAGGCGCCCTGAGTATCTGTTTTTAAATTTAAACCAATTAAAATTAAGTAAAATGATGGCAATGAGAAACAATGAAATCTGGCCATGTGTAGCAACATGGATGGACCTTGAGGGTGTTATGCTGAGCGAAATAAGTCAGGCAGAGAAGGACAAATATCATATGTTTGCACGTATAGGAGGATTAGGAGGAACTTGACGGAGGAACAAGCGGGAGAAGAAGGGCGGAAATGGTGGGGGAAAGGGAGAGAGGCAAACCATGAGAGACTCTTGAATGCTGACAAAAACTGAGGACTGATGGATGTGGGGGGGAGGGGGGGATGGGCATGGAGGAGGGCACTTGTGGGGATGAGCACTAGGTGTTGTATGGAAACCAACTTGACAATAAACTATTTGTAAAAAAAAAAAAAAAAAAAGATGGCTTTCCAATAAAAATTTCATTTTATTTAAAAATTAAAAAAAAATAAAATAAAATTAAGTAAAATGTAAAATTTAACTCCTCGATTGCACTAGTCACAATTTTGAGTAACTCCCTAAACCTCTTTGTACCCTATTGCCTCATTTGTAAAACAGCGTTGTTGGGAGGTTTAAATGAATTAATACCTATCAAATGGTTAAAACAGTGCCTGATTAATAGTACTCACTCAGCAAATTTTAGCCACATTATTACTGTATAACTAGTAATATAGTTATGTAATATGTATTATGTATATAATACATATTACATAATAATATTCTCATAATTATTGTCACTATCATCATCATTGAAGCCCTTGCTTTCAGCCAGGCTATTTCTACATGTTTTATTTGTTGAGGCAAACCCTGTAAGTTTCATACCCAATATTCAATACACTCCTGTTATTGTTGCTGACCAAACTCTGGTTACTTGGGTCTAAGCCAGTTATGAGAATTTTGGTTCCTATTTTTCAGTCTCTCTTCGAGCTGTAATGAGTCTCAGGATATGGTCGTGGCCAGCAAGACACGAGCAGAAGTCTGCTGGAAGGTTTCCAGTAAAACTGTTGTGGTCTTGATGAACCTCCTTGAGGATCTGAAAGTGATGCTTGGAGGAAGAGTAGACAACTTGAGAGTAAATTGCAAAAGGCAGAAGGGCAAGGCCAAGGGAATGGCAGAGGCATTGGCTTGCCATCCCTGGGCAACTGAACCAGCTGTCTACCTTCAGGCTTCTTGTGTAGTGAGGAAAATAAAACCCAATCTGTTTAGGCCACTGTGGTCAGGTTTTCTATTCTTCCTCATGCACTATTAGTTGATATTTACATATTTTATCCTTCAGTCTTTAAAGCAATCCAATGTGATAGGTACAGTTTTTAGGCCATTTGGTTGAATAACCAAATTATTTGGAAATAACCTTTAAGTTCACAGTAAGGAAGTTATGGGTTGTACCATCTTTCAACATCTGACACTGGAGCTATAGTCTGCCAAACAAAATGCTCTACCATCTTACTTCCTATCGGTCAGATATTCTATCTTTACTTCAGAGTTAAGAAACCAATATTCACAAAGATCAAATATCTTGCTGACCATCAGCCAGGTGTGAGTGATTTGAACCTGGATTTAAATTCTAGCTCTGCTGCTTAGTGGCTGTGTCACCTTTTTATGCCTCTATTTCCATCTTTATAAAATGGGGACAATAATAGTATTTATCCCCATGAGGTTTTTAAGAGAAATGAAATTTTAGGGGGCACCTGGGTGGCTTAGTCAGCTGAGCATCCGACTCTTGGTTTCAGTTCAGGTCATGATCTCACAGTTTGTGTATTTGAGCCCTGCATCAGGCTCCACTCTGACAGCACAGAGCCTGCCTGGGATTCTCTCTCTCCCTCTTTCTTGGCCCCTCCCCTGCTCTCTCTGTCTCTTGAAATAAATAAACGTAAAAAAAAGAGAAATGAAATGTTAAAATGTATGCGAGGGATAGCATATAGTGCCTGGCCTGTAGTAATTGCTCAGTAAGTGGTAATAATTCTATCTAATATATAATAATAAGTGATGAAGCCCAATTCAGTCCTCTCATTCCAAATCCTGCATGTTTTCCAGGCCACTGAGCTTCCTCTGTAAGTTGAAATTAACAAGTGTGCAAAGCTGAAACTTTAGTCAAGGTAACCCTGCATTTTATCATTGTTGATAAAATAATTAGGCTAAAAGGATAGATAGGGTAACAGGGTAACAGAACCTCCCCCTATGATAGATTGTTCCAGTGATGACAGCTTTCTCATTGTCAAATGTTCTCTCGTGTTATCAATGGGGTGCAGTTGCAGACCTTTCTTTAACGGCCTCCATCCAGTCTCAGTGAGTGGTTTCCAGACAAACAAAACTTTTTAATGGTGCTTCATAGCCACCGTCTGTGTACTTTTTGTCTCCTTCCCTAATCGCAATACTTAACCTTTGCTTAGGGGCCAATATTGTACCCAGTGTCCGTGGGGCGTGGCATTGCTGTGCTGGTCACCTTTAGAAGTGGTTCTCTTTGGCACCTGGGTGGCTCAGTTGGTTAAACATCCCCCTCTTGATTTCAGCTCAGGTCATGATCTCACAGTTAAGTGTGTTCAAGGCGCGCATCCGGCTCTGTGCTGACACTGCAGAGCCTGTTTGGGATTCTCCCCCTCCCTCTGCCCCTCCATACTTGTGCTGCCTCTGTCTCTAAATAAATAAATAAATAAATAAATAAATAAATAAATAAACTTTAAAAATAATGTTGGGATGAGCACTGGCTGTTAGTATGTAAGCGATGACCCACGGGAATCCACCCCCCAAACCAAGAGCACACCGTACACACAGCATGTTAACCAATTTGACAATAAAGTCTATTTTTTAAAAACTTCAGGGGCGCCTGGGTGGCTTAGTCGGTTGGGCGTCCGACTTTCGCTTGGGTCATGATCTCGCGGTTCGTGGGTTCGGGCCCCGCGTCGGGCTCTGTGCTGACTGCCAGCTCAGAGCCTGGAGCCTGTTTCAGTCTGTGACTCCCTCTCTCTGACCCTCCCCTGCTCACGCTGTCTCTCTCTCTCTCTCTCCTAGAAATAAATAAAAAAATAAATAAATAAAAAATAAAAAGATTTCAATATATCAATTGGGGCAAGGACACACAGTTCAATCTACAATAATTCCCCTCCTCTACTATCTACTTAACCATGGACATNAACTTCAAAATAAAATAAAGGTGGTCCTCTTAGAGTGACTTGTCAACAACTTCTCGAGGATCGTGTGGCATGAATTCTGCCTTCTACTACACTGTAAAGACTCAAGAGAACCATTGGCTAACAGAGGCATCTTGAATCTCTGGCCATTATACCCGGGGAAGTAGAGTCACTGGGACTTATAAGAAGTAGGACCACTGGCAAGTGATTTAACTTTTTGGATCATTTTTCTCGTCTGTGCAAGGGGCTACAAATACTTTATTCATAGTCTGTTACAGTCTTAAATGAAATCATGCACATATAATACCTCCTTTAGTCCCTGGAGTATAGGTAGACACTTAGAAGAGGTTTTTTTTTTTTAAAGTAATCTCTACACCTAACATGGGGCTGGAACTCACAACCCCAAGATCAAGGGTCGCTTGCTCTATGGTTTGAGCCAGCCAGAAGCCTCAGTAGGCACTTAGAAAATTGCAGTTATCAATAACCAGAAGTAAAACATCAACGTGGTCTAAAAAAGTTTGTATCCTTTCTGGCTAACAAATATCTTAGATGTGTTTGCTCAGTGTCATGCTTTTATCTTTTTTTTGTTTTTATCACTGTGTTATATAGTGAATTAGGGGACATTAACTAGCGATGCTTTTCTCCATGACTCTATATAGGCCTCTTTGTCCTGTGTCTGTTCTATGGCCGCTTCATAGTTATAGGCAGCATATGAATTGCCCAAATTCTTATTAAAAACAGTAATGTATTATTGTTCGATGCCCAGAACTAGTAGTGCTATAAAACTTCATGTAAAAGCAACTTTTTGGTTCCTGGATTCTCCTTCATCTCCTTTCTTTACCTTAAAGCACATTTGATTTTTTTATACTTTTGTGGTTGTGTCGAAGTAAGAATTCTTTTACCAACAGCCATACCTTGTCCTTTCATGAAGTGTCTGAAGAATTCCTCCCAGGAGCCATAGCTTGGAATATCAGGGACATCGTTGTGGAAGTGGAAGAAAGATACAGCCGTATCTTTAGGGTTTCGAAATATCACCAGTATCTAGAAGAAGAAAAGTAAGTTAATGTATTCAGGTCTACGTTTTTAACTTTGGAAAAGTGAAAAGGTAAACAATATCATTGTGTACTCTTGTATACGACATAATTTGTTAACATATAGAGAAATTGAGGAAAAGGGGGTGGCAGATGGGGAAGTCTGGGGAGAGGGGAGAGAAAAGAAAAAGCAGATTGTTGTTGTGGCAGAGAGCTTTTGCTAATGAACTTAGACAGTAAGAAGGTATATGTAGAAGATATATATATATATATATATATAAAAAAGCAGGGTGTCTGGGTGGCTCAATTCATTAAGGGTCTGACTCTTGATTTCAGCTCAGTTCATGATCTCATGGCTTGTGGGGTTTAGCCCCAAGTCAGGCTCTGCACTAATAGCGTGGAGCCTGCTTGGGATTCTCTCTCTCTCTCTCTCTCTCTCTCTCTCTCTCTCTCTTTCTCTCTGTCTCAAAATAAATAAACAAACATTAAAAAAAGAGAGAGAGAGCAGATACCAAAAAGGAAAAAAGGACAAGCTCATTAGAATAGTCATAAGGGCATGATCTGGAAGATTATACCACAAAACAAAGTAAAAACTGCAAATATTAAAGAAAAAAATAATATTAAGGCCAAGGAAAATAATGTTCAGAGTTTGTTTGGTAGGAGAGGATCAAACAATGATGAGTAGCCAAAGCACCCATAGTTATGTATGCAGGACATGAAGTTTGTTATTATATGTGAAATTCAGAAATAAAATTGTTTCAGGCCTCACATAAATAATGCTCACCAGAAAGAACCAAAAAAACCAACTTCTGCTCGCTTTCCTATTGCATTCTTTTGTTAAACACTCTAGATATCTTAGTGGGATTCTGAAATCTATTCACTATAAAGCAGATTTTAAAATATGTTAAATTCTAGGGATATGTTTTATATCTTACCTGAAAATGCATTCACTTTGAGTGCAACTATAGCAAATATATTTGAAGAAAGAAACAACTGAAGAAATACTAAATAACACATTTCATTTCTCAAAATTCTATGATAAAGACGCAGACTTCATCACATAGCTCAGAAAGGCAATATCTAGACATTAAAAACTTCCAACTAAAATACAGGTAGGGAGGGACACTCACCTTGGCTTTATTCTTGAAGATGGACCCAGGTAATTTGTCATAATGGAGGTGAGTTGCCAGAATCCTTGGGGATGGAAACTGTTTCATTCTCTTAAAAATAGACACAGTAAAGTGAAAGTGTGTATGTGTTATGATGAATTGCTCTTAAGTGTAGCATCTGAATGGTAGTTTCAAGCATCCCTTTTATGCCTTTTCCATTTCCCCCCTCCAATTTGTTTTTACTTATGTCTGTTTTCTTACTTTGTGGAGTTGAGGAATGGAGAAAATCATAAGTAAATAATTTAAATCATCCATTTAGACCTCCTTATAGGATTTGGCTTCCCATTTTGGGTGGGTCATTTTTTGAAAATGTTACCTTTTCTACAAACATACTAAATTCTTTTTAGAATTGATTCTTTGCAGCTCATAATTTGCGATCTATTCTTTGTCTTCATTTGGCTCTCTTCTATGGTCAAGGTCTTTACCAGAAATATTCAAGTTTTTCCATAGCTCCCCCAAACGCATTTTTAATATCTAAATTTTTTTCACCAACAAAATTCCATGCAATCAAATATCCTAACAGAACCTGAAAAATGGGTTTGAAAATGCGCTGAGTGACTTGAATATCTGAGAAATATTTTACTAGAGAAATTCTCAGTTTAAGGACTCAGTGATTGATTATTTGTGTGTGTGTGTATCTGCTTCCACTGATAATTTTAAAAGTGAAGTTAACCGTTTAATCTGCCAGGGTTAAGGGTTTTATAGTATGTTATATGGGCTAAAGGTTCAGTTTCATTTCCACACTTGTAGAGGTCACTCACTGCTAGGGCACATTATTTCTTTTTTTTCTTCTTTTCTTTTTCTTTCTTTTCTTTTCTTTTTTTTTTTTTACAAATAGTTTATTGTCAAGTTGGTTTCCATATAACACCCAGTGCTCATCCCCACAAGGTTCTTCTCTGGGGCACATTATTTCAAGTGATAAAATGATATTTAGACATTTATAAGCAATTTTTCTGTAGAAACTTACTGGACATCTCAACTCCAGCAAGAGTAAAAAAAAAAAAAAAAAAACAATGAACACCTGAGATCTAAAAAATTTAAAAACATTAAGTCAATGATATGCGCTTCGGTGGAAATTAATAGTGATAATGCTTGATGGGCACCTAGATGACTCAGTTAGTTAATCGTAGATCACGATTTCACAGTTTGTGAGTTCGAGCCCTGCATCTGGCTCTGTGCTGACACAGCAGAGCCTGCTTTGGATCCTCTGTCTCCCTCTCTCTCTGACCCTCCCTTGCTGTCTCTCTCTCTCAAATAAATAAACATGAAAAAAGAAGAGAATAGAATAGTCATAATACTTGATTTACATCAGATTGCCCTAATTTTTAGTTTTGAACATCACTTTTACATTGATTCACAGCAATCCTCTCAGGTGGATATTATAACCCCTATTTTAGAGATTAACAACTGGCTTTGAGGTTTTAAGTGCTTTGTGCAAAATCACACAGATGGTAATTTCCAGATTAAGTTATAGAATGCTGTTTCCACTACACTGCATGGCCAAAAATCACAAAAAGACATATGAGAAATGGTAAAGTTCCTTAAAGAATTAGAGAAATATCCAGGGAGAAAATGGGAAATAACTGTAACAAAACTGATGTGTTGACAAAAAAGTGCGTTGGGGCCAAAATAAGCAATGTAAAGACTGGATATAGACACATCTTAAGAAAATACATGGGGCTCAAATGCACAACCCCGAGATCAAGAGCTGGATGTGGGGCACCTGGGTGGGTCTGTTGAGGATCTGACCCTTATTTTTGGTTCAGGTCAAGATCTCACAGATTGTGGGTCTGACCCCCTTATTGGGCTCTGTGTTAAGGTGCAGAGCCTGCTTGGGATTCTCTGTCTCCCTCTCTCTCTCTCTGCCCCTCCTCTGCCCATACTCTCTCCTTCTTTCTAAGTAAATAAATTTTAAAAATTGTAAATAAAAGGAGAGTTGGGGGGCGCCTGGGTGGCTTAGTCGGTTAAGCGTCCGACTTTCGCTTAGGTCATGATCTCGCGGTTCGTGGGTTCGGG